ACAATCCCTCACACTAAGCATGCTTGTAGCGACAGTGGAGAGGAAAAACTCCCTTTTAACAGGAAGAAACCTCCAGAAGAACCAGGCTCAGTGTGAGCGGCCATCTGCTGAGGCCCACTGGGGTACAAGGAGACAGAAGCAGAGATACAAAAAGCAGCTGTAAATGGCGGCCCCATCCAGGAAACACACAGCCAGGCAGACGAGCTCCGAGCCAGCTCCCATGCCAGAGGACGAAGGGAGCACATCGACTCAGCCACGGTCAGAGAAACAGGACCACACTGGAAAACAGGCCGATCTCCAACATCTATAAACAAGGGTGTTGATGGAAGCAGCACAGCTGATATTTTTCTCCAGGATGGAGTCACAGCCAAACAGGAACAGACAGGGCAAAGCTACTATGAGGAAAAGCAGAGTAGCTTTTCCTCAGAGAAGTCTAGAACTGTTATGAATGCTGGCGTACCATAAAGAATAAATTATGAACAGTTTAGTTTGTGCCTTCAATTTGTTGCCCATAGGAAGACGTTACTTTGATATACCCTAACCGAATATTGTCTGAACGGCTCCAAATGAGACAAAACTCAGATGGGTGAGTAGAACATGATGTAAGAACGTAAAATCAAGGCCCAAATAATAAACAAAAAAGGCGTTCCCTTTTAAGTCTAGTGGGAATAGTTTAATCTTTTCCAGTTGTTGAGACTGTTTTGAGGCAGTATAGTTTTTTGCTTGTTTATTTGTTCATCTAAATACGCAAAATCGAACGCGATGAAAAGTGAGGTGGAGATTTTTTCACGTGACCAACGGTGGCCAGTAAAAAAAAAAGAAAAAAAAGAAAGAAAACCAGCCTCCTTCTGCTTCCGGTTCGGCTGTATAAAGAACAGACAAAAGAAACTCAGCTAGTCTCTGGTTTGGATCAGTTCTTACTTTCTGTCTCAAGTTTTTAGTAGAAAAATTGCTGCTGCGGGGCACTGGGGGAAAAAGCTGCAGCTGGAGGGAGGTTTGTGTGTTTCATTAAAAACAGCATTATTGTTTTTGTGCTTCTTTTCATTGGCTGCGTCCTCACCCATAGGTCCAAAAAAGAACAAAAAAAAATGCCCAAAAAAAGCAATGCCTGAAGGTTTTAGTTTATCATCAGTGGTCAAAAGATTAATCCGTTTTCCTGTATTTAATTAAGCTGTTAGTTTGACATGAATTCAGAGTGTAATAACTTTGACCTGTTGCTGTTCTTCTTCTCAGGTGTACGTGGTATACTGGGCCCTAAAGAAGTCCTGGTGTCGTGCTGTGGTTCTTTCCATCATCAGGGACCCGACATGCCTTCAGACCCTCTGTTTCCTGGTTGATCATGGAGAAGTTACTGTGGTTCCCTCTGAAAAGTATGAGAAAAAGATGAAACAAGCAAATAACACAATCAAACCTAACGGTCAAAGGATTTTAAACTAAGTAGCAGTAAAGTAAACAAAGCCTTTGTGTGGAGCACTGAGGCCTGTTTCACAAAGCATGTTTAACAAACTCAGACTCAAATCCTCAACTCTGAATGAATCCAGCCTAAGGTTAGAGGGGTTTCTGTTTCACACTGGCTGCTGTGAGTTAGTTTAATCAACCCTGAGTAGGTCCACTCAGAGTCTAGCGCATTACAAGTCGGAAAAGCCATTATTAGTGGAGCTCCCGATTCGATGAGTCATCAGGCAAAAGGAAGAGCCTATTTCACATCACTGGAAGTGGAGATTTTAATGCAGAAGTAAAGACAAATAGGAGAAAGTGTTGAAAAGACAGAGCAACAGCTGCAAAGGAGAGGGAGAAGATTGCTGCTAGAGCTGATGTGTAAGCTTATATGAAGTCCTCTATGGCAGGCCCTTTTTCACATTCATTACAAGCACCGTTCTCTGTGTTGTTCCATTCCTAGATCACTAAAATTAGATTCTTCCTGATCCTGATGACATTCCAAGTCAGAACTGTAATAATGGATTTCTTAAATTTCTAAAGGAAACAGAATTTCTGAAAAATAATCAACAAAATGTTCCAGTAAGAATTACGTTTAGCATATGTAGAAATGACATTTATTAGCTTGACTGAATATGTATTTATGATTTCAGAAATATGTTTCGGATCAAAATAATACAAATACCCGAGGAGTAACAGTAGGAATATGGAAATCTAAAATTCATTTCTAGACATTCAGAATGTTTATTTTAGATGTGAAGAATTTAATTTAGTTTGAAATGGTCATTTTGACGATAAAAAAAATGCATTTCCGATATCAGAAGTACCCATTCAGCCAAACTAATCAAATGGACATATAAAAGGCCTGCAATGGTAACATTACCGTGGAAAAACTAGTTCACTGGTGAATGGTAGTGGATCGGTGTTTTATATTTAGTTGAAATCTAAAGTGAAGAAAAAATAATAAAAAACTTTTTTCTAACAGGTAGGATCTGTGCATCATCCTCTTCATTTTGATCTCACATTACACATTAAAGGTATTGTGGAGGAGTTTTTACTAATGTTACAAAAGACCTGCACTCTCCACTTTAAAAAAAATGCACGTGCGAGGGAATGCACAAGCCCATTTCTCCTGGTGCACGCCTTGTCTAAAATGTGCTGTTCTAACAGCTCATAGCTGACTGTGTTCACATACAGCGGGGACTTTATAGTGAACTTTATAGTGAACTCAGTTACCTGACCGTTCACAGGGGTTGACGTTAAGGATTTTTACCACTTGCCCTTTGGGCAAGTGACTTTCACATTTCATTTGCCCAGAAACAATTTTTACTTGCCCAGTATAATGTTTGAGAAATATAGTTCCTAATATTCATTTTTGTATAAATATCAATGAAACATGTTTGTTTTTTGTACTTCATTATTTTTTAAGTTTCCAGGTTCCTGGTGTGTATATGCATGCGTCAGATAATGAACTCAAGTCTACAGTACCGTGTTAA